AAAAAAAAAAAAAAACAACTATTTTTGCGCAATGGGCTTTGGTATTATTGGTGTTTAGATTGCTAATTCGGAGGGGTGCATATATATATGCGGCGCCTCATGTGGAGTGGCGCATGATTAAAGTTGATGTCTCTCTTTTCTCTTTTTCACCCTTGCTTGAGAAAGAAATGAAGAAAACAAACTGGCCCTCCATCGCTCTTATTGTAATCAATTGTCTAGAAAATAGTAGTATAATTTTGTGGCCCCCCCATATGTCATAATATTATTGATCAAACTATTAAAATAATAATTTATAGAATTTGAATTTTCCAATATGAAAGAATAAGTGTTCAAAGATATATTTTTGGCATGAGTTCAAAAACTAAGTATATTGAATATGTGTTCCTACAAGCACAATGATTTTATAAAAGGGAAGTTCTTTTAAAATCGTTGGAAAGGTATGAGGGGACGTATACTGTTAGATCACACACGCCATATCGTCCTTCATTGATCCGGACAAGAGAACACGTTAGAATAGCCTATATAGGCCAACAGAACGAAATAGATCTATATGCGGTTTTGAGTTTACCATATTATTAGTTTTGCATGATCTTATTGTGGTTATATTTTGTAAGATGATGTCACGGTGTGCTGGATGGAAAGGGGAGATGCGGAGCTTGAGGAGATCAAAGACAATATTTACTTTCCATGTTACTTCACTATCTTTAGAAAGAAGATCAAGGAAATCACGTAAAAAAAGAAAAAAAACGTGCTGAAGGAGCGTACGCCTAAGGATGCTATTTAAACCCTACTTGAAGATCAATTGAAGGCTGCTGAAACTCTTGACATTCATACCGCTCAAGCTTCAATTGAGAGTTCAAGTTTTTTCTTGTTTCATTGCTTTTGTTCACAGTTCAATGCTCTGATGTTCTTACAATGTATGTTCACCGAAGTTGTCTTTTGAGTTGTTTTTTTGTTTCTTTTGTTTTGAACACTTTTGTTTTCAGAATATAGTTTGTCTTGAGGGATCTGGAGTGTGTTAAGTCCACGGGACGCGGCCAAATAAGTAGTTGGTAGTTTGAGTATAGTTGTGGCTAGGCTAGAAGGGAGTTCTAGTTGTTGTAAGACCAAACTATACAAGTATGCACATCGAGTAGTCAATGAAAAAGCTCTGAGGGATAGTGGGACGCTCCCCGAAGAGCTTTTATATTTTGTGTGCTTCCGTTATTTTCAACTTTTCTGATGTTGGAACGTGGTTATTGAAGTTCAATGTTCTAACACGAGTTGAGCGGTCATTTACTCTATAACATATACTATACTTTTCAAGTGTGGACGTCACGTTGTTGATCAATTCCTAGCAAGCATTAATTATATATTGCAATAAAAGTTTGCTGGACAATTATAAATCATTGTAATAAATGAAATTCGTTTAACCAATTTCGTGTCATATGTCGAAGGAGCATATATATATATATATATAGTTGGGAAGGCCCTCCGCTCATGCGTCATAATACCCTAATTAATGAGTTATTATTTCCGACAAAATTAGTTAATTAACTAATTGAAAGGGGAAATTAATTCAAGTGTGGCCATATATATGCACCATTTTGTGGCTTTGCACTTATTAACATAATGAATTATTTTTATTAGCTCATCATCTCAAAAATTCTATATATTCTAATTTTGTAAAATAAATTTGAAGTCCCTCAAAAAGGGCATATGTTTTTTATACCTTAGATAGCCTCCAATACCAACCAGCCCTCGTGCCATTGTTCGACATAATTAATTTAACATTACAAAAATTCCCCAAAGTGACATTTTAACCCCTCTCTCTCTCTCTCTCTCTGCACTTTGACCCAAATGCATAAATCCAATTTGGATCTAATATTATGTAACACTACAAAAAAAAACACTACAATTCCAACGAAAAATTTCAACGACAAAAATTTTCGTTGAAAATTCCAATGAATATTCCAACAAACTTAATTTTATGTTGGAATAAGTGTTGGATAATTGAGAAATTCTAACGGATTTTTTCCGTTGGAATAGCTGTAGGAATTTATTTCCATAGGATTTTTCGTTGGATATTTGTTATTCCAACGGCCGTTTTTTCAACGGATTTTTATACGTAAAAATATCTGTTGGAATAGCTATTCCAACGGAAATATAAAAAATTCAAACGGAAAATTTCCGTTAGAATGTAAGAGTTTTTTTTTGTAGTGTAAGTCGTCTATCTATGCAAACGAATGACTTTATAAAATCGCGTACGTATTAATACATACTAGTACGTACCCCTTGCATGCAATGCACTAGACAAATATATTAAATGAGTTATTTTCGCATGCTCTTTTCGTATAATTCTAAATAACAATAGAGTTATCATCTATTTTTCACCTCTTTTAATCAGCGTTAAGTCTAAAAAATAATAAAGTTATAATTTATTTTTTTAAATCTTTTAATTAACATTTTTTTTTAGCCAGAACATTAAATATGAGTATGTTAAGGCTAACTTGTAAAATAATTAATATATTATCTCACTAAAACATTTATACAAATATAAATTCAGCTCTAGTATATATATTTATTTCCTTCATATAAAAGAAAATAACAGTTGTAATTATTCTTGTTCACCATATAATATTTAATTATTATTTTATTATAAAATTTGTTGTCATACAATGTCATTTTTATTTATAAAATTTATAGAACTTGTACGTCTTTTTTTTTCTTTTTCTCTTAAGTAATAAAAAATATTAAAGGCACGTTATTATTATATATTTATGTATTTAATTTAAAATATTTAAATAAAGCTAAAATTAAATAGTGTATAAATATTTTACAAAATATACACACAAGATTTTTTTTAGAAATTAATTTTTTATACTAATTAAACAACTTTGATTTAGAAAATGCCAAAACCTCAATCCCTTCTATAATCAAGATTTTTCTAATTTGTATTATAAGGATTAACAGTTTATTTAGCATACTCTGGAATGAAAATATATTTTACGATAACTTCATTATAGAAAGAAATCAATATAAAAAATGGTAAAAATATAATCATGGTTGTCAATATATAAATAAATTCTAAAAAAAGAGTTAATATATTTCAATTTTAATTTTTGACTATTAGTAAAACTATTTAATGTATTTAGTCCTTATCTCTTAAATGGTAAATTATATTAATTTAAAGAATCATTTATTTTTTATTTAAAACGAAATAAAGA